GAGAGCCGGCCTTTCTTAACCTCAAATGCACTCGCTCCCTTTGTTGTCTGGCGCCAGTCATCGTTTCGCAGGGGCCCCAAATTACCCAAACGCTTTCAAACCGCGGCGGGCCGCTTGGCGACTCTTCAAAGAAGCACCACAGAAATTTCGAGAAAATTGCGACTCGGGACCACTTCGACGCCAGCCTCTTCCTGCCCCGACATCTGGCACTTTCCGATCGAAGACGCGAGCAAAAAACAGATTTAAGAGACCAACGGGGCTGATCCGAGGGCAGAGGAAGATGGCGAGTGACGAATCACAAGACACTGGTGGCTTGGTATTTGTTAGTAGTGATGGACAGGGGCCGATGCAGAAAATATTGGGGGAGGGGGGGAGATTTCATTTCGGTTCCTCCATAAATATCTTTGAAATAATATTTTTAGTTGCTTGCTTGCAATTATAAAAATGTACGAGAATGAGTACACTCACAATGCTTTGAATGTGATGAGATCTAAGAACGGCATTTATTTAGAATGAACTGATTAAAATTCGAAGAAAAAAAAATTTGCCATGCGGGAGAATGGCCCCCGCGCCTCACCCCCCTCCCTGGAGTCCACCATTGGCGATGACGTTGGTGTTAAGATAAAGAAGAAGGGTAACGTTCTTATCTTGAGAATTTGAATTTTTTGGAGCAGGACGTGATACGTAATGTGGTGAGAGTGATGTCGATAGGGATAAAGGGATTTTAATGAAATGGCACCTTTTATAATTGTATGTTTTGGAATGGAAGAGGTGCAATTATAATGGATCGCTGATAATTAAATTTGAAGAACAATAGTAGATGCATGGCATCTGGAATGCTTTGTGGTAGCGAGACAACTACTGCAGAAGTAGACAACACAGACTCCGGAAATGCAGGCAACTGCCGCCGCATTGTTGGTGGCGGCCAGGTTCGCCGTTTGAACGGTTGCAGAGAAGTAACATAGAAGACCAAGAAAGCGGTGAAGGATCTTCTTGGAGGATTTTCAATCAGTGTGGGCGGCTGTTGGCTCCTGGCGGCTCCCTTGTAGGATTCCGTCCCGGGAGGTAATTGTCTGAAAACCCTCATTCACCAAACGTAAACACACTCCCATGTCTCCAGAGAGCAGCATTCCTAACTTGACTGACTGCAACGTGTGCCTCTCCAAGCTTCACATATTTCGAATTGCACCCCTCAATTACACTACATTCCCAGGATTTGATATTTTTCTACCTTATCAACCCCAGGTTAACATACCCAATTAAATATTCAATAACTTAATTTTAACTAGGTCTATAAATTACATTCGTGGACGAAGTATAAATATAATATTTGTTTCACTAATTACTCTTGAATGTATTTTATATGCTTACAAACAAGTGTTATACCGGAGGACATTTCATTGCAAAGGGATCTTGCATTGAAGTCGCCGGACGCAAGTAGCGGATCGGAGCACAATCACGGCGACACAGGAGGGGGGGGGTACAGTGGAGGGAAAGAGTGTCGGAGTTAAAGGAAGCGGAGGTGACAGGCGCGGCAAGAAATTGGAGGAGACCATCGTGGGAACATTTAAGGTAGAGAGAACGATATAACGGCGAAGATGACGAGCAAAACTGCTCGGAGAACAAGACTGGAAGACAGAAGAGACAGGTATCGAGACAGGAGGTCAGGAGAATTCTTGGCGACCACAGACACACTTGGTAATCGCGGGGAGATGCAAAGGTGGCGGGGGGAGGTAGAGAGGCGACGAGGAGACAGGGAGGCAGCGGGAACGGAGTGAGTGGAAAGAGAGTGAAGCAGTAGGAGGGAGAGAGCAGCGGCGAGGATTCTGAACGGGGAGGTGGGAGACAGGCAGCGGGAGGGGTGGTAGAACTGTCGCAGAAGCACGGATTCTGGGCACGCGGCGGAGAGACAGGGAGGCGGCGTGGGTGAGAGAGAGAGAGAGAGAGAGAGAGAGAGAGAGAGAGAGAGAGAGAGAGGAGAGGAGAGAGGCGGAGAGAGAGAGAGAGAGCGACGGCGTGCAGGCTAGGGGCTCGTGGGTGGCGGTGAGTCCGGAGCGGGAAGAGCCCGCAGCAGAGAGCGTAAGTATGAAGCCGTCGGGTGGGCGGGGGCGGGCGGGGCGGGGCTGATCGCGCGGGAGCGGCGTGCGCGCGGGAGGAAACGGATGGGATCGTAAAACTGTTGACAGGCTGCTCGGAACAAAACACTAATGGTGGACTCCGCCACGCCGGCCGGGTAAAAATACACCTGTAATAAAGTCGACTAAATATATCAACACGGGCGCTCGGGGTTTGTCCCGCCGGAAGCCGAGTTCGATACCCGCGTCGTGGAAGGCGCTTAACGTGGCGTGTAACGGGCAATCGTGCCGCCGGCGGCCGCCGCGAAAGGGCGTTGGTGGTTTCCGGGTACGCGTATCGCTGCCAAGATTGCGGAGACGGCGATGGGCGCAGAGATGCCCAACAACTGCACGGAGATTGTTATTGAATTGAGGGTAACAAAGTTGGATCAAGTGTTAGTGGTAATGTGCCCGGCATTTCTTTTTAGCAATATGTGAGGTGCAGTAATAAAACATTATTTAAAATGATTGGAAGGGGGGAGCCCCATGGCGTTCTGGTCAGACAGCGCGACCTCTGCTGTTGCCCTGGTCGGTTCCAAGTGGGATAGGTGGTGAGCAAAGCGGGTTTGCGGCTGGCGTTCAGGAAGTACTTCTATTTTCCCTCCAAAATACAATTCACCGGTATGCCTCATCACTCATTCCAAAAACAAAAGCTAACACAATAATTTTTTCATTGATATAAAGTTATATAAATAGAAGTTGGAACTAAATTCAACTTTGTAAGCACATTAGAGTATGTTCTCAAAAAGCAATCTAAGTTCATCGATGTATATTTATGAAAACAAAAATAATACTATGCTAACTTTCAAAAATTCATATTTAGTAGATAAAAATTTTGTGAAAATGCCTTACGATTATGGCAGAAACGTCAGAAAAGCCATCTCGTAGCTCAGAGGGAAAGTCTCCTTTTATCCAAGGAGACACGGATGCGATTCCCGGACAATGTGAAATCCCATGTGAAATTTGTTCCGCCAAAAGTAGCTTGACTGCTTCTCAGGAGCTAGTCCGACCGCTGTGAAGTGTTTTGAACTCTAGCACTGTCCTAATTCCTTCAGGTCCTGGCCGGTAGGTAATGACGCAGGATCGCGTGTAAAGAGGCGCGTACGCGGAGATGCTACCTGGAGGTCCTCTTGACAACACACAACCTACTCTCATGAATATCCTAACGTTAAAATCAATAGTGTGGTCGCTAATGATCTCGTAGTTGATGCGACCTTAAATAAACAAACCAACAAACGTCGTCAGAAAAATGTCAGGTTCTAAGGGCACGATAACTGTGTGATAGTAATAATTATTTATTTGGAATTATTCCAATTTCTTTGTTACTATTGAACTTGTAGCGCGGCTGGAAGGGCGTGCCTGGGGCCGCTCCTCCCCAACGCACGCGTCGCCGGATGTCCTTCGCCCGACGCGACGCCCGCGGCACCCACAGCCCCGGCGTCGCAAGAAGTCGCGCGGAGCGAGCACGGCGGCGGCGGCGTCCGCGGGCGCGCTCTGCCCTTCGGCTCACTTTGATTCTCCCCGCTCGACTGACTGGCAATTGGACGGTAGCAACATTTTGCTCTGGACTATTTCCTTTTTCTTTAGACTCGTCGGAAAATCTTTAAATCATCTCAAGAAGGTCGTCCTTGATGTTGTTCACTTTTATAGTGTTACTAAATGAATGGGAATAGAAATCGACTGCGGAACTAGATTGATGGATTGATGTTTCTGGGTTCGTCAATTACTGTTGTCCCGATGATGAAGTGAATGTTTTATCGCGAATGGTGGTGGCGTGCGACGTCGTCGGCTTTCGAAATTTCCCTTTCCAGGTATCTTCCACCAAGCCTGTATTACCCCATCTGGGACAAGATTGAACACGAAGTTCCCGATAAATAAATATGGTCTAGGCTGTGAAAGCAGGTGCTCAAGTGGGGTAATAGGAGAGAAATAGCAAATAATAACAGGAAAAATACCATTCCGTGGTTACACTTCACCCACTCCACGATTGGATGGCGTTCCCCGAAGTTTCACCCCGACACTGTGCTTATCACGGTCGCAACCAGTCGCCCATTCACTGCGGCACCCCGATCTCCGGCGGCCGTCGCCGCCCGCCCACGCTCCCCGTAAGGGGCGCTGAGTACTCTGCAAGCGTGAACCGTAGAAGAGGCGACGAGCTCCTTTCCCAGCGCCAGCGCCAGGACCGCTTCCGCCTCGCCCGTCCGGCGACAGTCGGCGACCGAGAAACCGACGACGACAACCCGAGGACACGGCAGAGATTCATATTATACCAATAGCCATCTAACGAGATCCTTGTTCGCCCGCGTGGTGAATACTTTTACCGTTATTCACATATTTTAGGTGGCGATCTCTCATTCGTCTCGCGCTCGGAACAATGCTAACTCGTTCACATGGATGTAATTAACTGAATACCATCATTCAGCATTGACGCCGGATGAACATGTACCGTGTACAGGCCCGACAGTAGCTTAATTTCTTGAAGGACAGAAACGGATAATTCCGGTGGGCAAGGAGTAGTGGAATTTGATAAATATTGCATTTCTTATTTCGAATTTCTGAATTCAATTTTAAAGTTGTAGTTGAGACTGTTTGGAGTGGTTTTAAACGAGATGTTTCGTTTGAAAGAACTACAAACTATTTTGTTATGTTGGAAGCTTAAAATAACGAATGAAAAATATTACTAACGTCGCAGATTATGTGTCCTATTTTTAGTCAATACGTCCGCTTTACATACACGTTGAAGCAAACGAAATGTATTGAAATATATTCTTGGAATGTATGTATAACAAAATATCTGACTAAGAAGAAAATGTTCAACATTTGTCCTAAATTATCCATTAAAACGGTCATTAGTGATATGCAAATTGAAAGATGAGCATCACTTACCAGATCCTCCTTTGGTGACATCGTACTCGTCTTTGGGGTTGGCCAGCAGGAGCGGGTCCTGCTGGGGGGTGGATGACGGCGGGGGTGGTGATCTCGCGCCCGGGGGCGGCTCGGCCGACAGGCGCAGCGCCGGCGGCGGGGGCGGCGGGGGCTGCTGCGGGGGTGGCGACGGCGGCGTCTTACAGCCCCGGGTCAGCGCTATGGCCTGGTTCTGCAACAGACAAGGGATGCTCTTAATGCAGGCCCTCAGAGCGAAGTCATTGCGTGAAAACATGGATTAGCAAATACGTGCCATTCGCATGAAGAACATATGAGCATCTGTTTGGAACGTGCTTCGCGGAATTGTGTCTCCAAGTGACTGCGGGGAGAGACACGGCTGAGCTATTTGTTAAACGCACCGAAGCACTGAGTCAACAGCAATGTCTCAGTCGTTCTCAGGAAATCCCCCAAGCGCGCAACGGTGTCGAGATGCGAACGGTTGTGCAGTGAGGTGCAGCAAGGGCGAATTTCTCCTCTGCGTACAACACTGATATTCTTATTTTTAGCGTAGTGGAACGGGGAAGAGTGGAGCGGGGAGGAGCAGAGCGGGGAGAGTTAGTTCTCATGCGGGAAGGTTTAGCAGTTCCCCTGTGTTTGTTACACAATTTTTTTTGACAATTTATGGTTAAATAATATAAGACCAATATAATTTTGTGAACGATTTTCTTTGTTTTAATATATGAAATTTACTCTGCATCTATGCACAGTACACAAAAAAGGTTTTAATGTATTGTTAGTAGTAGTCAAGGTAGTAGTAGTTAAGTATAAGCCAATCTTTGAATATATGAAAGCAGCACTTGCTCTTCGCCTTTATTTCGTCCATTTTATTTTTTGCGCTTTCAAATATTTTTACGATAGAGCGTTAACAACATCCAAACGTGCAACCGGAACATTGGCGGTATTCAGTAAATAATAAGTAATCACAAAGAAACTGTGTTTTTATCTCTCATTACTTTACAGGCCTAACATACAGTCGTCTATACATATCTTTCTGTTCTATTTTAGTAAAGGGAAAAACGTTTGTGTATTCAGAATAGTGAGAGGGACAAAAGGAGGTAAAATTTCCTTGCGTGAGTTCCCATAGAAACTCCGTCCATCACTGAGTGGCTCATATTTCTTTACACTTCCATTAACATATTGTCATTTTCATAATTTGTACTGAAAAGTAATTAACGGTCAAGGATTTTGTCAAATTTCATTTTTCTACGCAAATATTAATTTTTGCTTCATGCTAAATGAAATTTTGAAGGAAACCTAGATTCATAATTGCAAAAGGCATGAGTTACATAAAGTAAAAGATCGCGTGATGTGCATGGTATTGAAATATAGTGTAGTGGGAGAATACAGCCAACGTAATTTAAAAACATAATGATAGCAAAGTAACTATTATTCATTAAGTCGCGAAAATGTAACGCGTTTGGTGATCTGATATTAAACTACAGTCACTTTCACTAGGACCTAATAAATATATGTTTATTTGAACGTACATGAGAGAAACCTACAGAACCCTGGATTCTTCCCACATCCTTTCTAGTTCTCCTTGTTTTTACAGCTGTCAATTAACGCCAGTTCTACATGCCGTTCTAGCGACACTAATGCGCACGTGGTGACGCGTCGGCTGCGGGCTCAGGATGCCACCGAAGACGCAGAGCACGTTAACAGCGCATAGCCACATGTGCCTTGGCGACGCTGTTGGGGCTACCGCCAGTCCTGCTCGGTTCCTCCCCGCTCAAAACGTTCCCGCTCTGCTCGTCCCCGCTCCACCCTCACCCGTTCACCCTCCCGCTCCCGACGGACCACGCCTTTCTCCACCACGTCATTGGCTCCTCTACCCTGCAGTTGCCTTTGGGCATTCGAATCTCCTCTCGCGACGCACACGCCCTGCTGCGACGCCCCGGCGGCGACACGTCGCTCCGACGGGTCGACCCGTTCCATGGGCGGACGCGTCGCCTCGGCGGCACTTCGTCGCGACATTTTGGCGCCCCGACTCCTCGAGTTTCTTCCTTGTGTTGTCTGCTCGCGACCAGTCGCGTCTCTTCGTCGCCTCACCACCACGCCGCCCTGATACGTCATCTATTCAATCGTTTAGCAACGTTACAAAATGTTTTTTTACTTCACTTCCCCTTATAATCCGGCTTTCTCTCTGTCGCCTCTTTAGCCTCACTGGCACACCGGTGACCACACCTCATCCACCGCGACCACACCCTTGTCACTGACGCTGTCAGCAGCCTGTCCCTTTCCACAACCCCAAGCCACTCGGTGCAATTTTGGTCTGCGGCGCGCCTTCCACAAACAAGCAGCGCTGTCACAGCCCCCGCGGCACTGCAGCCCTTCCCGCGCCCACCGGCAGCCGCCGCCGCCGCCGGCACCGGATTCCAGGCGCCCGCCTAACGAACGGCCCCGGGAGCGCAAGAATGCCGCCGAATGCTTAATCTTCCCCAATTATCTGCCGGGGGCCCCGCGTGGCGTCGCGACGGCCCCGAGATAAAGGCGATAACAGCGCGACAGATGGGACTCGGGTTTCTTCCGCCCTGCACCCTCCCTGCAAATTACCGCCGGCCGCGACTTTCACCGCGCCGTCACCTGTCGCACTGGCCAAGATACAGCTAATGTCGCCCTCTCGGCCTTCACCACGCCTCTGACGAGGCTCGAACACCCCTTCCCCGTGGAGGAAATTCTGGTTCTACTGCCGGATTCACACAATGGTACCATTCAGCTCTATGGAAACATAATGAGACATATCATTGACACATAGGAACTGTGACACGTCTCAAAAGACGTCATTTAACTCTAGAAATATGTTTTCAAATTAGTAAATTTCTTAGGAATACAGCCGCAAGCTTTGTCTTTGGACGTGATACTAAACGGGTCCGCTGACAATAAAACAGTTCTGCAAAATTAATTTTATAGAGATGTATCGCTTTTTTTTCGTGCACGTACGATATACGATCACGAACATCTCTCACACCTTCGTGTCACTAGTTGCAGGTCAAATGATTTTAGGATCGATTTAATGTTTGACAATAAGAGAAATTAATGGAAAGAAAACAATTTTTGAGGTAGATTATCAGAAGTACTATACCCGATAATTAAAATATTAAACATTAATTATTTATAGTTCACTGCTGTTAATGCTGGGAAGAGGATTGGCTACTCCCTCAGTGTATATTGAATGTGTTAAAACCCTTAATCAATCACAATTTTTCGTTCGTCAGGTGTGGGTAATTACACACTGTTCCGCACGATTCCTTGGTGTAAGCCATGTAGCGAAACTGAGAGCTTGTTCTCGGATTCGGCCGCATTTTGGCGAAAGCTTCTGTCTTTTCCGGGAGAGGTCCCGGAACTTTTGGTCATTATTAGCGCGGAGCTGTATACGGCATTCACGAGACAATCTCTTCCCGCACTCTCCCTCGGTACTTGGTAAGGTGTACGCGCGTTATTGAACTGAAAGCACTCTCTAGATGTTATCGATAGAGTGGAAGTAATAATGTTCAATGCTGTTAATTGTTAATTATTTGGGAAAGTTACACTCTCCATTGCATCAGATATAGTTGTTCTTTGCCTTTATACCACCACTTACAATGACCGTATTTTATTGAAATGTCAAAGAATAACAATAGATATTCTTTTATTTCTTTCTTTTTTTCTCATGTAATTCAAGAAACTGCTTTTGAGACCCATAATTATATCAACATTGAAGAACGTGCGCTAAAACTATTCTATGAAAAGAACACTTTTCTAGATAAGAACGAGGATTGCGAATAAATCTCACAGCATTTTTAAAACAAGAAATATAACTGCCATTGCACTCGGAAAATGTGCCCAAGGGCATTTTAATAATGAAACTCTTTCCAACTTTCCAGGTAACTAACATGTTTTGAAATGTCCTTTAAGAGAGTCACGTTCTAAACTGAAAACCAAACGGTCTTAATAAATATTAATTCCGGACTCCACACGTAGCTGTTTCCCACATCGCCAACTGTCTTTAATGCCCGGCGAAGACGCGTCCACAAGCGGCTAAGTATGTGTAGGCGCGGCGGCGTGGGCAGAAAAACATGAGCGATGGAGCTTACGGCATCCTTCGGCATTATCGTTTCGCGAGCAGAGATCGCGGAATTATGGCGGTTCAGCGTCGCCGGCGCGCATTCCACGGAGCTGGGCGGACGACGCCATAAAACCAAATTTGCTATTGTGGAGACGACCGATCGGAACCTATTAAAACAACAGGAAGACCGCGCGGCCGGCATACCTCGAGTGCAGCAAGCCGTCCGTCGCGCCGCATTTAAGCACCGTCTAATGCGCGCCGCCGATATCCTCCTGGCCGGTGGATGGACAAATGAGCCGCGCGGGCACGCAAGAAAAAAAATAGACGCGGCCCGGACGAATAGGCGGGACGCCGCCGCGACTCATGTCCGACGCCGCGAACAAACACGCTGTCGGCGCGCGGCCGCTCGCCCGCCTGCGCCGCAACACTGCCGCCACCGCCGCCGCCGCCGCCGCCACCCTGCTCCGCCGCGTCGGCAGCGGAATGCGGCGACAATGCGGGGAAAACAAGGCTATCACTTACGCGGCGCGAGGTGGCAGCGTCCGCGCGGGGCGCGCATCCCCTGCCGCCCGCCGGCTGCTGGGCGCTGCTCGATGACCACCTGATCCCGTGTGGTTCTTTGCGTTGAGGTGTCGCCAACGGGTCAGGGAGGTCTACGGTGGAATGTCCTTTGGAATGGAGTACCTTTCGACCGTGGAAAAAATTGTTTTCTTCGACTGAGATGCTTAAAGTAATGTATTCCTGCTTGGCATGTTAATGCTGTTAGTAGTTTAAATTACTTTTCGTAATAGCGTGTGTGTAAAACGGGGTACGGCGGGGGTAGGTATGTATTTAATGGAAATTAAATGTTATAAATTGGATTCCATCAGTTCACCTTTCAATCTGATGATTTTTTCCACTGGGTTTGAATTATGAGTAGAGACTATTATTTCTACCACAATACCTGCCGCGTTGGAAATATTTTGAAGATTTGATTTAACACATTATAAAATAGCACTCTTCAACCACAATATGTCTGCCGCGTTATTCTCAATATAAAACAGAGTATCAGTTTTTTTGCACGAAATGCAAACTGAACATTCAATTGGCATTCGTTTTGTGCTTCAATAGCGACAAGTTCGTGAGCT